CACATTCATGCAGAAAAGCTATCAAAAGGCTAGTTGTGTGTGGTACCGGCAGAAAGACGCTCAGTATTCAACATAAGACAAAAAACAATCAAACTTCGTGGTTTAAGCCCGCAAGCGAACTATACCGACCGAGCGACCGCCGCTTGTCGCCGACGTTAGTGCCAAATTTAGCGGATAGAGGGGGGTCGCATGGTCAGCGCAACGGATCCCCACGGCCGTTAATTTCGGTTTTATTGACCCAAGCCGCTATTTCCTTGAAATAGCTCCGCAATTATCCTCACGATGCTGATAAGACATTTTCATATTTGTTAATACAGGGCTGCACAATCTGTAGACAGATATTTGCTGGCCCGATTGTTTCCTTTAACAACGTCTTCCATGATCTTAATTTTAAGTGTAAAATTCCAAATGTACGGGTTTTCTTCTGAAGGAATCAATTGTAGACTGAAGAGTACTATCACTTATGTTTCGAATGGAACTGATGCCTCCATATTCAGGGTCGGAGAGTAAGCTGAGGAAGCAAACAAGCAAACAGCTAAGTTCTCTTCTTCTACCCGTCTTAATCTTTAACACTTAAGTTGAGGCATGACTTTTCTTCCGAAACAACGGTAATATTCTACTAGATTGCACGGTGTCACATCCCAGACCATAATATTCTTCCTAATCACCGCCTTGAGAATTTCGTATCCCAAGTCCTGGAATAGATTATGGATTTCCTTTACAGGCTATATTAGAAGGCTGTTATTATCTAGACCATGTAGTAGATGGGAAGGATGCTTTAATGAATGACGAATTGGAAAGGATTTGAAAGGAAGGGGTCGTGACCTAATCGAAATATTACTAGAGAGAGTCATTAAATATATCACAAATTGATATAAAACGTAAAACATGTGATATTCTAACCTGAAAGAAAGACATTCATTTCTCGACATATCCTTCACCAACATTCATCAGTCACTTCTGCACCTCCGTTTCAACATCAGCGAAACGTTTATCGCGTCTTTCGACACAATTGTAAGCCGCTTTGCTCGACCAACACTTCTCACCGTAAACAGAAACAAATGCTTTATAAATACGCTTCGCATTGAGCCCTTCTGCTCATCAGATAAAAACGCACATGAGAACGCTGCTCTTCGGTAGTACACATCAATCACGGTCGCCATTTTGACTACTGAAACCAGCCTCTGAACATGCGCACGCACGGCTGCTACCTAGACTCTCATGATGCTGGACCGTGCTGCTACCTAGTGTTAACACAGAAAACCTATCACGGAAATTACAGCTGTTTTACTTCCATTTGTGACCTATTTACGGACTTGTATCTTGGAGAAATAGGGTGTGAAAATGTATGGAATCGGCAGTTATAGGTTAGACTGTACTTGCGAGCTTCTGTGAACACCAATGAATTGAACTTTCGGGTTACCTAAGAGGTTGAAAATCTCGTGTACAGCCGAGCCAATATCGTCTTCAGAAGGACACAAATCTTTGGAGACAGATGACAGAGCTTACTTACGTAGCCTGTCATCAAAAGGCCGCGATATTTATATTCCTGAAGCTCTCTTTTGTACTGTTGTTTAACTAGACTTTTTGCAACACTTTCTCTGTGTCAGTGCTGAGTGAACTGCTGTCACGTAAGCAGCTTCAGTTTTAAGAAGAAGTTAACAGATTTTATTGACTTAAAACAGGGCTATCCAAAAGATGGAATGTGGGCCGCATGCGGCACCCCAGCTAGTTATTTACCCCGCTAGAATTTCCTTCTATTCCTCATGTGTTATACTTTCATACTCTTTAAAAATAAGCCGGTATGGCGACTGGCTAGGGTCTGGGAGACAGTAATCCGATTCCCGGCAGAGGTAAGAGACTATCCCATGCCCCACAGCGTCAAGACCGCCTATGGGACCCACGTAGCCTCCTATCCAATGGTACTGGAGGCCCTTTTTCTGGGGGTAAAACGGTCGGGGCTTGAAGGTGACCACACCTCCATCTGTTGGCGAGGTCAAGAATGGTTGAGCTATACTTCCACTTCCTGTATGTCCTAATTAATCATAGGGGCAACTTTACCCTCTACTCTTTAAAAATAAGCCGCAAACTTTGTCGAAAAATGTGTTAATGATATATTCTGTGTTAATTTACAACTGACTTGGCACGATACATAATAAATAACTTAAGAACAGTACAGAATTAAAACGATTCAAATATCGAATTCAGTGATAACAAATTCTAGCAGACTTTCTATGGTAAATTTGTATGTATCATCAACCTGGTGGTAACATTCAATTTAAATTAATCTATTTGAAAGCACATGTCCAATTTTTATTGGAGTGCTTGTGTTTCATGTACAGCGTGGCCCAAAAGTCTGTTAAATTTCGAGTAAAATTTATGCTAATTTTGTTTAAAGTTGTTTTTATTACTTACTGAACTCACAAAAATTTAGTCAGAAATGAAACCCTCCATGTGTAGTGTAGGGGATAGCGGGTAAATGCCAGTCACTTACAGAGTACTACAAGATAAAACGAAAAGTATATGTAGAGATGAAGATTAATATAAACTGGCATTTGATAAGAAGAATCTATTCCTTAAATATGCAGTGTGAAAAACATTCAGCATAACAGTAATTTTCCAGGTAGTGATATCTGAAGAACTGCTTTGACCTGTATTTCCCACCCCTAGGGATTATGGCGGACGCTGTCAGAGTTTTAAGATGCCTGAATGAAATGTATTTCATTAATAAGTAATAGGCATATAGCTACAAAAAACTCCGTTTTAGTCCGCAAGCGAACTATACCGACCGAGCGACCGCCGCTTGCCAGCGGAGTTAGTGCCAACTTTAGAGGATAGAGGGGGGTCGCGTGGTCAGCGCAAAGAATCCCCACGGCCGTTAATTTCGGTTTTCTAGACTGGAGCCGCTATTTCCTTGAAGTAGCTCCTCAATTATCCTCCCGAGGCTGAGTGGTCCCCGTTCCAGACCTACTACTTCTCAGAAAATCTGGTAGCGCCGGGAATCGAACCCGGAACCTCTGGATCTGTAGCCAGGAGCTTTGATGACTAGACCACAGAGGCGGTTAGGTATATAGCTTAGCTTACAAAATGGGTATCTATCTAAATTCACACAATTATAGTTCGTTCGGTAGGATGTGGAGTCCAACTGGGTCCACTCGGTACGGCGGCCACTGATTGGCCTATTGTAGCCTGCTTCAGGTGATTATGATTGAGAATTTGGTGGAATGAAGATTGGCAGGGGAAACCGAAGTACTCTGAGAAAACCCGCCCCAGCGCCACTCTGTCCACCACAAATCCCACTTGACCAGACCCCAAAATCGAACCCGGGCCGCCACGGTGGGAAGCCAGCGACTAACCGCTTGAGCTATGGCGCGGGTCCCATACAATTGTAACTTGCAAAATTAATATTAGTTTTAAGAAAGACCCAGTTCCATGGGGTTGTTTAGCTGCTTAGTTAGGTAATCTTGTGTTTGTATCATAGCCATTACTTGGCAGTAATCTAAACACGTTATGAAACAGTTGCGTCAGTGATGGCGGATTTAGTGTCTGGTAATTCCTTGTGACGAGGTTTTGACAAAGTTGATTTACATTTAATTGATGGAGGAGGGTCAGAATTTCTCGTTGCCTCGAGCGGAATTTGGGTCCCGGTAGCCATCATGGCAGTAGACTCAGAGCAATGGCGGTAGACTTGAACCAGGGCAACGGAACCTCGCATACTCAGGGTTTACTCCAACATGGCCTTCTGGAATATAACGCCATGCGGTCTCGAAGATATTTATCAACGTTTCAGAGGAACGTGCTGATTCCATCTTCAGGGTATTTTGTAAACTGATTAACGTATATACTGTAATCTGGGATATGATACCATATAGTGTAATACATATCCACTGACGTTTCCGAGGAACCTGGTGCCATTATCCTCAGGATTTCTTTCTTTTAAATTAATTTGGGGGTCGTTACAAGGACATGGTCTCAATCACAGGACCTGTTCGTTGGTGCAGTGTCTATTAACTTGATTTTTTCAAACACAACATGAACCAAGCCTATCAGTGTCCCTTAACCTGATGATGGAAACAGACCCAGCTTCCGAAAGTTATGTTCAGAGAAACTCAAGAAGATCGGCTAAGCAGAAAAAATTAAAGCTGTCCCTATGCCTACTCTATGAAGACGTATGGAGGAGTGGATGTATAGATCCACGTTTTCTTGACCACGGCACTAGTTTGGGGTGAGTGGTCAGCTCCAAGCCCCAGCAGCTTTATCCCCCGGGGAAAACGCCCCCGAAATCCATTGGATAGGAGGCTGAGCGAGCATCAGAGCCGGTCTGGACGACGTTGAGAAGAGAAAATTCTTGACCCTACCAGGGCTCGAACTCCGACCACTCCGTCGTCCAGTCCGTAGCCAGTCGCTATACAGACTACGCTATCCCGGCTTCTAATTGGTTAAATACAATAATAATGTTTATTCTTATACTTCATTTTCAGAAACATACTGACTTAGCATGATTGAAGATGGTGTATGGATAAGTGTTCAATAGCAGCAGTGAATGTATTAGGCTTCTTAGGGTCTCTTTGTGTTCAAACTGGGGGCACTCGTTAGCGTGGTTTTGAGGCCCAACGCTACAAGCCGGAACGTCACGGTTCGAGTCCCGATGAGGTAATTTGATTTTTCAAGTGACCTAATACTTCCAGCCGCACTACGGCCCTCGGTTCCACTCAGCCTCTAACAGAAATGAGTACCAGGAATCTTCTTGGGGGGGAGGGGGGTAAAGGGGGGCCGGCGAGTAAAATTGACGACCTTACCGCCATCTATGAGGCGACTGTCTGGAGAAAATGTGGGAGCCTTGACGTCTCACAACCCTATGGGCCTCCACGGCCTGTTACAGGGATGACATTACTTTTAAACTGCATTCAAACATTAATTGAAATTAGCTCAAGACTTCCCAAGAGTTGGAAAATGCTTCATTCGACGGAATAAATAAATGTCATTTTTGTTTTTTACAGCAACGAAGTGGAAGAGGTTTATGACCAAGCTCCACTGAGAAGGCAAGAGGAAAAGCAGTTCGGTGGAGACGAGAGTAATGCAAGACTTTGTAGCTTCCCCACGCCATTAGGTAAGTTGTCACTTTGATTTCGTATCGCTGAACAGAATGTTTTTACTGACTTTTGGTGTTCACAGCGGTTTTGATGTTAATTCAGTTTTCGTGGCACTTACACTGCTGACATTTCGAAGGTACATGCTGCCTCTGTCTTCAGGGACGAAATGCATAAGGTGAAAGTGTTTGTATAGGTTTAAGTGTCCAAAAACTTATTTGAGGAAGTGAAGAGTGGAGATAGTTTTCCGCCAGGGTAAGTAGGAAAATCGAGCGGGAAAGTGATAAAAGGAAAGAAACGGCCCTATTAAGGGCCACTGAGTCCACCAGAAAAAAAGTCGTAATCTGGTATTCACAGGCGGTTTACCCATTCAAGTGTTTTTGATTTTGTTTAAATGTGTTTAACTTTTATTTATTGCATCGTCATGTGTAGAATCGATAGAACCATGTATATAAATGTTCAGTCATTTACCACATGTCGGCACATACATGCCATCTTCAGGAATATTTCCCAGTAATATAAAAGTTTAAGCATATACGAGTATTGAACTATTCCTCTTTGAAGGATTGACGATATCCCACATGAGCTACAACGTGTCGCGCGTCTTGTGTGTGTGAATATATGTTGTGTAACTGAAGTTTGTATATTTCAATTAAATTTCTGTCAAGCAGGAAGGATATATATATATATATATATATATATATATGAGGATTCTGACTATAATGTATAAGTGTTGAGTTTTTGTACCTTGTCACCATCCAGTTATTGAGGTAAGCTCTTTCTAATGGACCCAGAATAATAGGTACATCCAACTTGAGGACAGAAACGTATCCAGTTTCGAAACATCGCGGGTACTGCGTATTTCTGCAAAAGATGATGTTAAGTGAAAGTAAACGTACAGAAGTAATTAATTTATAATTCTGTTGCTGTAAATGGTACACATTTCATTGAACCATCTACTTGTGTATCATAAAAAAGTAAAGTTATCCCTGTAACAGGCCATGGAGGCCCATAGGGTTGTTAGACGTCGAAGCTCCCACGTTTTCTCTAGGCAGTCGGCTTACAGATGGCAGTGATGTCAGCCTTACGCGCCGGCTGGTCACCCTTTATCCCCAGGAAGATTCCTGGTACTCATTTCTTTTAGAGGATGAGTCGACACCAGAGCCAGAGTGCGGCTGGAAGGATTAGGTCAACTGAAAGATCTCATAACCTCATCGGGATTCGAATCCGCGACCTTCCGGCTTGTAGCATAGTGTCTGACCCAAGTACGCTATAGCGTAGAAAAATACGATAAAGGTATGATCAGAATCGCGAAATTCTTTCAAATCTTCTTAATATGTTTTTCAATCTTGAAATTACGCGATTTGATTATTATTATTATTATTATTATTATTATTATTATTATAGCATACATTTATTAACATGAACACCAGATAATTCGAAACATTTTTATACCTCCAAATAATAATTATTTAATACGCAAAGAATAATTTGATGTTGTAATTTTTATTGGGAAAATTTGCAATTAATACTTCAAATTCATTAACGAAAATAACGTAACTTGACCTTTCTCATGTAAGTCGCACATTCTGTTTCTGAGCTAGAAACAAATGAACCCTAACAAACACACTGCTTTTATAATCCAGAAATAGCCTATACATCTGACTTTAGTATCATGTCTTCCTCGAACATAGACACACTTCCCGACGCCATTGTCCTACAGCAATGCAAGAGCTTCAAACAGTTTCCATCTCCCCATGGTGGTATTTTAGGTTGTGACACAAAGTTGTCTTGCAGTGAATGTACTGCCGTGGTGCAGGGGGGCGTGGAGTCAGCCCGCCTCTGTCACCACTGTAACTCCGCATGTAGGGGGGCGTGGAGTTATCCCTCCTCGCCTCCACTGGTTAGGTCGTAAACTGGTACTACTGGTAACGTCGTGCCGTCGGGGGTGTGCAGGTACCCCTCCTTGCATCCACTGGTTATGCTGTAAGGCATTAACGCAATCATCCTAGCTTACCCTTAGCTAGGATTCTCCTCTGTCGGAGTTTCCTTCTGTCATACAAGCTGCCACCATCTATTTTCTGTTCTTTCAATTGTGGGGACTACTCCCTGGCATGTAGTCATACCCCTTCTTGACCACTCCTCCCTTAGTTTACAGGTAGCGTCTAAATACTTATTAATACACTTTATCATTATATCTCAAAAGGGCGTTGCTGTCGAGGCTACCGTACTCTGCCTGTGTGGCAGGAGCCTATCCCTGTCTATTCTTATCTCCGTCTTCGGCTGCCACTGCGGCCTGTGTCAGTTCTGCCCTCGCTCGTCAGGATTACTCGGGATCGGGTGTGGGAGGTGGACTATATATATGAATTACACTCCCGGTACATCCTATCCTATCTATTCTAGCTGTCTATTTACATTAATATATATACACGATTTACATTATTTACAGGTTACAAAGACTGTCCTTCCGACTTGACTACATATTCTATTTCTTCAAGTTCTCCCCTTTCAGGGGTGGAGGCCTTGAGCCTCTCTCTCTCTCTCTCTCTCTCGGACTTGCTAACGAGGACATGCAAGTCCCCCTCGAGAACACATAATTTCCCTGTACATTTCTGATTACACATGATATATGATTACCTATCTATCGTGCGGTCTCTTATACATAAACTACCCTTAGTTATGTTTATATCTCAATTCCCATATACTATCTTACTACAACACACTATATGTAACCTTGACACCGACATATAAGTCACTCATTGCCTGACTAATATCCTAGGCTTCTACACTTTCCTGGTATCCTACCCTACGGGTACACTGGAGATCGCACATTGAAACACAGTTATCACCAATACTATGAAACAACGATATTATCACTCGGCATGGCTAATATGCGTAAACAAACCCACCTGTAGTACAAGATGCCGGCTGACGTCCAGCGCTCGTCAGACCCATGTTGAAGAGCGCCTTCGGCTGACAACTGAATATTCTGTTAGAACATGATCCCAAGTCCCCCGAAATTCCCTAATTTATGGTTTTATTTCGCTGATTCAGCCTTGACGTAAGAGGGTGGGTGACTTCCCCTCAGTGTCCTCAATCCTCATAATAACCTCCTCATTGGCTCTCATGGGTGGTTGGGGGCGGACCCCTTGCGTCTGATTGCTGTGTCTGCCGCAATATTACGATATTCCAGTGGCCCAGTGAGACAAGCGCTGGCTGGTGCTCTTACGTATGAATGCTGATCCCACGCATTCTTAGCCTACTTGCCAGTCCTGGTGTTACAATTTACTGTAATAGCTGCGAAACTCTTTTCGCAAGTCTCTGGTTTTTTTTGGGTAATACCATCCTCTTTCTAATCTCAAATTTGGGGCATAACAGTGAAGATTCGGCATCCTATGGAACCCGTAGGTTAATTACCCTCTTCACAAGATCCCGCCACTTGTGTCATCCCGAGTCAGACAAATCCAGTTCAGACCCACGTATCCTTCTTGCGTAAGATCCATTTTAATATTACCCTTCAATTTAGCCTAGGTATTGTAAGCACTAATCTCTTCCCTCAGGCATTCCTACCAAAATATTTTACGCTATCCATTTCTTCTTTCTTCCATTCATGCTACATGCACCGCCCATCTAATTTTCCCTGATTAAATGGCCTTAATCATATCTGGTCTCCGATCACAGTGGCCGTGCGGGATAAGGCATGAACCGTTTTCGCTTGAACACTGAGTTCGTGGGTTCCAATCCCACTCGAAGCATGGATTTCTGTGTGCGTTTATTTTGTGTTGTGCTGTCCTGTGTGCAGATAGCGGCCTTGCGACAAGCTGATCCCCCGTGCAGGGAGTCCTACCGACTTTGTATAGAATTAAGAAACCGAAACAGCGGTTAAGGTCCAAAGGGCTATAGAGAGACAGAGAAAACATAATATATGGTGAGAAATAAAAAATTATGAAGTTCCTTATTATGTAATTCTCTCAACCCTCGTGTTGCTTCCTCTATCTTAGGTCCCAATATTCCTTTAGCCCCCCCCCCTCAAACATCCCGAATCTATTACTGATTTTAGACTTTCACGGTGGTCCACTGTTAATGCTGATTCACCTCTTGTGCCCTTATAAGCTCCTTCCATCTTCAAGGTGTGAATGTTCATGCGTATATATGTTTTGGTTATCATGGCACAAATTGCCTACTCACACAAGCAATGGGCAAAATTATACTTCTACAAACGAACTTCCTTATACGTACATACACGCCATCTGGCGAAAATTCGAGAAAACCGTTACCCTCAGAAATAAATGCACTCTCTGTCAAACACACTCACTCACTCACTCACGGAGCTAAGCCCTTCTTGAGAAGCTGCAAATTGTGCAACTACTCAAGAACTTCCCAGTATTTTATGGAACCCAAAAGTTGATTACCGTGTACACAAGAGCCCTCCACCGGTCCCTATCCTGAGCCAGATCAATCCAATCCATACCATCATATATCTCTAAGATCCATTTCATTCCAAGTACCAAATCTCATATCCATTTCCTTTCGCTTATGTCGTTTATCTAAGGAATGCGTCAAGGTCCGAGGTTTCTTGCAAATTTTCCTAACAATCTTATATTTTACGGTGAGTTGTTAGCCCTACACCCAATCCCAGGCCGGAGGACCACCCCCTGTCGGCTGTCCGCGACTGTTTATTCAATGTATTCGCAGCTACCCTCCATACTTGGAGGGCGTCTCTTCCATCTGCAACCGGAGGACGCGCTATGCCGTCGTGACGCACCTAACATGGTTCAGTCAAGCAGTCATTTTTCAAGTATCTTGAAAATTAATCTGTGAAATTAATATATCGGTATCTCTCTGTTTATAATTTAAAAGTCGGCTTCCGTATTGGAACTGAGAAGGCGTATACGTCTTACAGAATGAAACGCATGATTATACCCTCTCCTTGTAGCATGCACAGACCGCCTCCCTCACCACACTTACTTCTTAAGTAACAGCTGTGTTCTTCCAGTAAGGAGTTACAGTAAAAAAGAAA